CAGTCACGCAATGAACAAGGACACAATCACGCTGCATCAAAAGGGGGACCAATCACCAAAAACAGCAAAATGTGCCCAGTATTGGGACAACACATCAGGCAGTTCGTAGGAACAAAAGAACATCAAAAACATACGACATCAGGGATTCGCTGGTGGTCACCCACCCAACTACTAGTCCGACCCTTACTGGTTTATCTATGGGAGAGCGGACGGGATCCCGAGTTCTCCAGTAGGTATGGTCGTATGTGCTGAGTATCGTACGGTTTGCAGATCATCAATACACAATTTCCTTTCCCCGACGAAGGCATAAGGCACGGTGGCAAATTGACCATTCTGCTCAGGGCAAGGGTTAGGCGCAATTGAGACCGTAATCACTTGTTACGCATCATAATTAACGCTACAGTTATCTTGACCCTGTCGGTTACAATATTCTTCCCTCTGTGATAGGTAACTTTATGGTAAGTCAAGGGGGGGGGTATTGACCCTTACCTGAATGCGATGCACAACAATTGGAGCACACAGATGCCGCCCATAATCAAGGCGCACGAGGTACATTGACTTGTATGGTTCAGTCAAAAGATTAGGTGGATTGGACTTATGGGCTACAACAAATACGCCGGAACTTTGGAAAAGTATTCATATTGTTTCGAACCTCGCGGCCCCCAGGTTGAGCAAGATAATCGACGTGTGATGCGCAGACTTTCTGGCGAAGTATATAGAATCATATTTGTGCTTGCACAATACCCTGAGCTTGGATTTTGACCTCAAATTCGGAAGTCTGGATGTTGTGAGCGAAATGGCATGCCTATACGCGGATGTTGAATGGTTTACGCGCATTGCGAGCGCACCAATCACTCCGCAGTCCAGAATCGAACCTGAAGCACCCGTCCACTAGACCATCCATTGACCTTGCACCAAGTCTCGGGCTCATGGCTCCGGGTAAGAAGCTGTTGCCTTTACGCGGTTTCGCAGCCAATCCCATGAGCCGTTACATTTCTGAGCGGATATTCGTCTGCCATATGCATTCCTTGACAACGCATGCCTGCTTGCATGTTTCCCAAGTATCGACAGCCACACTGTGAGCCAAACGTAGTTCACTTGGCAATCATGTCGGTTGCTCGTCGATCTGAGAGGCTATTTGGGTATAAAAGAGATCAATGTCCAACTCTTCACTTGGTAGCGTCAACAAAACCAGACATCTCCCCTCACAGAGTAAACCCTCCATCATGCACGTCACCAAATCCCTGACTGCCCTGCTCGCTCTGAGCACGGGAGCCCTCTCCTACAAGATTCGCATCTTCTCGAGCCGCGACTGCTCAGCGGGCGGCGGCGCTGCGCAGGAGATCAATGTGGAGGACAACACGTGCAGATGGACCGACCTGCGCGTCAACGCGAGATCCTTCCGCGTGCTGGCCTATGGAGCCGGGCGCCAAAGGGCCGAATTCTACGACTCCGGCTGTTTCCCCGGTACCAGTGCTGTCATTCAGTCTTTCTGGGCCGATGGGGGCAGCGACCAGTTTAAGAAGGACAGGTGTATCAACCTGTCGCGCGTGGCGCGTGCCTATGCTTCTTGGTCCCGTTGAAGATGCTTCATCGACGGTCGGCTCAAGCTTCGTATCTTCTCCAAGTCGGAAGCACGCGTATGGGCCTCCCCACGTTGTGTGCATTCTGGAGATTTAACTGACACACGTCTCCAGCAAATGTAACCAGGTCGGTCTGAGCGGACAGGTTGAGTTGTTGGTAATTCCAGCGTCAGTTGATATCGGTCATGGTATTCCGCTGCTGGTAGCTCGGGTTGGTATCATATAGCTCAACCACAGAGTTAATACCACAATCGCTTTGGTCATTTTCAGCCCAGCCACCAGAGTGCGTGCAAAGACAAGAACTGAACTCCAATCACAGGCCAGAGCGTTTCCAATGTCTAGCTAAATGAAAATCCGACCTTGGACAATGTACGTGGTGTATGCCCGCTGAACAAGAAGCCAATTCATGCAGATACCGCGCCCTCTAGTCGAATCCACCCCACTTCTCCTCTCCGTCCTGCTCAAGCCCGTCGGTACTCCCACTCTCGCTTTCCTCCGCGTAGTCGTGGTCATCGCTTTCTTCCTCCTTCGGGTCATCAAAGGCGACGACCTCTCCTGTGGCCTTCTCAACGGGCATCCCCGTGACATCCCTGATAATGACGCCATGCTCGTCCCTCAGATACGGGCCATCGTCGCTGTCGAGTAACGACCCAACCCGCTCGAACGCCGCGACGAAGAAACCCATGACGCCCCTGCCGTCGCCCTCATGCGCTCGTATGCAGGCCTCGGCAACCTTCTCGTCGCCGCCAGCAGCCTCGACGTCGCCTCGGACGGGCCACTCCCGCATACCGCTGACCTGCGTCTCCCGCGGCAGGATGCGCCAGCCCGCCTCCTTGCCACGGCCGACTGCAGCGCCTTGACGACGACGTGCTCCGTCCTCCTCGGCGTGAATGGAGCAGGCCGAGAACGTGACCCGCTTGGGGGGGGGAAACTTCATGGCGTGCAGCAGCAGCGTGAGCTGAAACCCGGACAACGCGTCGAGCCTCTTCTGCAGGTCCTGCTCCGACGCCACCTCGGTCGTGTTGCCGTCGTCGTCGACGAGCACCGCCTTGGCTTGCGCCTCGTCCGTCTCCTGCCTCTTGCGCTTCTTGCCCTCCGCCGCGGCCACGGGGGGTGACGGTTTCGCTGGCCCCTTCCGGGGGCCAGCGCCGACGGGGCCCTCGGGCAGGTGAAGCTTGGGCATGCTGTCGCGGCCGACGATGCCGCTGCCGGAGCAGCTGGGGTCGAGCAGCAGGGCGCCGACGTTGGCGTAGAGGCTGGCCTTGGGGTCGACGCCCGTAAAGTCTTGGCCCATGCCTATCCTGGTCATCTTGTTGCTGCCGGCCGTTTTGACCATCTTTTCGAGCGTCAGGGCGCGCTTGTCGTTCCTCTCAAAGGCGAATATGGTCTGCTTGGCGGCGCCCTGCGCGGGGGCGTGGGTCTTGATGATGGCGGCGAGGTGCGTCGTCTTGTTCCCCGGGGGCGGCGCACGAATCGATGATGTCCCCGTTTTCAGCGCGCGGGTCGAAGAGGTAGGCCGGGAAGCACGAGGCCTTGTCCTGCAGGATGATCTCGCCGTCGTGGTAGGCCTGCGTCTTGGTGAGATCGATACCGGGGGAGACGGCGACGAGGTTGGGCACGTGCTCGTCGAGGTAGAGGGAGCGGCTCGCCATGGTGGAGGCGGCGACGTCGGCGATGGACATGACGCGGGTGAAGTCCTTGAAGGTCGTGGACAGTTGCGTCTCGAGGTCGGTGCGCACGGCGTTGATACGGACCCAGCGGGGGTGGCGGCCCTCGGGGTCGGCGGCGAGGTTGATGTCGGCCCGTAGAGCCTCGAGAGTCGGCGCCTTGCGACGCAGGCGGGCGCGCGTCATTTCGGACGTCAGGCGGGCCTTGTGGCGATCAATGGCAGAGCGGAGGCCGTGCGTCTGCGGGAGGGCGATGCCAGACTTGGCCAGGAGAAAGTCATGGACCAGCAGCAGAGCTAGGATGGGAGTGAGCTGAGAAATATCATTAATATGGCTTGCTCTGGTGAGGGGTTCGAGTCGTGTATACCTTGCGCTCATGGCGCAGGAGATCCGTTTTCTCGATGACCTCCTTGAGGACCTCGCTCCACTTGCACGTCTCTGTTGCGAGGGCATAAACCTGTGCTGGGGGCGACTTGAGACCCTTCTTGGCGAAGATGCGTGATCTGAGGCTGCCACCACTTGTGGATGGCGCCGAGAGGATCTCGGCCGTCTCGTGGTATAGAGACATGGTTCAGTCTTTGTGGATATTTTCAGGGGATGAGAATGTCACCTCATTGTGGGAATAGGCTTGAGGTAATCGTGATGCCGGCGTGAGGATCAGACTCTATCGATGAACGAAGTCGGATGTTGAGATGAGATCTTCAAATGTGGGTCTTGTTGTCGGCGAGGTGCAGAAGTTTTCCGGCCAGCCGTCCGCAGCTGTCCCACCTTTTCTGACACCTCTTAGGTCCCTCGCCCTTGTGAAACCCCAGCGAACAGCTCCCAATCCAGCGCTGCGAACCACTGAGCGTTTAGTGGACCAACGCTTCCAAGCCCGCTGAAGTGCCTTGGACAATCTGCGAAGGGATGGGGGGGGGGGACAGACAACTTGTACAACTCGACGGTAGCAACGATCTCAAGGCAGATGTGTTGCTGCCTTGATTTGGCCGGCCATAGGATACGTAAATTGAGGGACCATGCACGATCACACATGTTCCAACGCTGTGTTGTTGTTTCTCAAACCATCAAGGGACCATGAGTGCAAGCACTGACCTGATACTCGCCTGTTCATCTCACACAGGGACCGAGTACCCCCGATCTGCTCCAGCTGCCGTGAAGCCGGCGTCCCGAGCCTTTTTGTAGAAGTACTTCGAGAGAGCGGACAAACTCGGCGGACGAGCAGCTGGAAAGCCTCTTCGATAGACACATTTCCCCCGGGCGATTGGCCTTCCTGTCTTTTGGCGTCGTTGTAGATAGATAGGCCCCGTGTTAGATATGTCTGACGCCATCGAGGCGGCACCGCGTTCCCTGCCCATGATATCAAATACCATGCTCCGTGAAGCACAGCATCAAACCGGCTGCTGGCAGACTGGACCCAGGAACCCAAGCGTTCTAGTACCCACAGTGGCGTCGTGGCGCGCGGTGCAACACAAATCGTGTCGCCGGACGGCCGCCGGCTGGCTCGACGTTTGCGACAACCCGACACAACCTTAAATCAACACCTCGTAACACAAAACAATGCGGATCTGACACGAGCAACTACAAATCAAGAAGAGACGTCATGACTGGAATCATTTTGATTCATCTATGAGCCCGCAGTGGGGCGAGCAAAGGGTATAGCCATCCAAGGGCCTCTGCCTTCCCTTTTCCCGATCCGTGTACCCAAAAAAAGTCCCTCCCAAATACTTGAACATCCAAGAAATGGCATCAAGTTGTTTACCATCAGACACGACCATAGCAGGCCCGCCAAGGCAAAAGAATTGAACAAGAGAAAAAGAAAAGAAAATGGTCATCCAAAAAATGGTGTGGGTGCCAAAGGACTGGTATGTGAGGCGTTGCTTTGTCTGTCCGCCAGGGAATGGCTTCCCGAAGATTTGTGCTTGCTTGTATGTGCTTTGGTCATGACCGTCGTCACTGCGCAGAGGGGATCGAACAAGGACGACGGAGGGGATCACCTTGATCTCCCCCGTCACCTTCGTCCGGGGTATGTTTCCCTTCGACTCAAAAATAACTCCTCTGCGCACCCTAGAAATGTCAAAAGAAGAAAACCGTGAGACCGCGCGAGTCAAAAGACTCGCAGCGGCTACGCGAAACACTTCTAGTGGCGCAGGCTGCGGTGGCGGTAGACATGGTTGTGCACGTGACGGCGCTTCTGCTCGCCGTAAACGGGCTGGGGCGTAGGCTCGTTGTTGATGACCTCGGTAGCCGTGGCCACCACGGTGACGGTCTCCCAGACAGTCCTGGTGGTCTTGGAGCAAGACGAAGAGGACACTGGCTTCACGTCCTCGACAGGGGCTTCGGGCACCGGGGCGGGCGTGGGCTCAGGTGTCTCGACAGGCTTCTCAGCGCCGACCTCGGGAACGGACGAGAATACAGGCGTGGGAGCGACCTCCTCCTTGACCTCGGCCTCGGGAACGTGCTGGTAAGGCAGATCGGTAGCAGCAGCCTCGGGCGTGGGCTCAGTCTTGGGGGACGTGGCAGCGGCGGTGGTAGGCTTGGCACCAGAATCGGGCTTGGGAGCATTGTAGCCAGTGCCGTCACCGTTCTTGGTTCCATAGGTCCAGCCCTCAAGGGGACGATCACCAGGAAGGACACTAAGGACGCCAGTGACGATCTCATCGACGGTGGTGACACCCTTGCAGCCGTTGTTGTCGTTAACCTTGACGCCGGGGCAAGAGTGAAGACCTGCGTGACCGGCATTGCAGTTGTCGATGACGTTTTGGAGGACATCCTCGTCCCAGGCGGCGAGGAAGTCGGCGTGGGAGCTGAAACCAGTCACATCACCGTTGGAGAGAACAAAGGGCTGCGAGCCCTGGCCTCCGGTCCAGCGATCGGCAAACTTGGGAGTGTCCCAGTAGATTTCGTAGAACATGTGAGGGACGTGGATCCAACCCTCAGGGCAGTCTTCTGGCGTTCACATCGGTTGGGGAAGGCCATGTTTGTCTTGTAGAGGTGAGGCCCTCCTCGGGTTTGTAGCAAGAGGGCATGTGGATGTCGGCGCGAAGAGGAGAGTACTGCCATCACAGTTGACGTCAGGGAAACCGGTTCCCGTCCGTGGTCAATGGGGTGCTCTGGCCGGCGGTCGAGCCTCCGAGTTGGCGGGCCACGACGGAGGGCTCTCCTGGCCGCCGGCACGAGGGCAGGTCCACATGGCAGATTGAATGGGACCCCTGCTGGGATCAAGGTTGAGCTTTCCATTCGTCTGAGGAGCGACACGGGTGCCGGGGTCGCCGCCGACGATCTGAAGGCCCTGAGGGAAGGCCTTGATATCGTCATCGGTCTTGTCGAAGCTGGAGCCAGTCAGTTCTGTTCACAGCGAAATGCAATACGAGATACACAGAGAGAAGCTTACAAGTAGTAAACGTTGACATAGTTGATGTCAACGGGTTCGAAAGTATCTTTGGCTTCGTCGTGGAAGTAGAGCCAGGGGAACCAGTAGGCGCTCTTGTCGTCAAGAGCCTTGGCGCTGGTGCACTCGGACTTGGCCAGAGACTCGCCAGTGGAGTCCATGGCAAAGTTGTTGCCGCCGACTGCGCCATGGACGTGCTGGGCTACAGCTTTAGGAGAGACGATGGGATCGATACGGCCTTGTACAATTTCCTTTCCGTTGAATCGAAGGACGGCAAAGGCACCCGGGTGAGAGGCGGCGGCTGTGCCGAAGACGGCCGCGAGAGCAGCAGCTGAGTACTTCATGGTGGCGAATGGGTGTGTTGTTTGGAGGCTTGAACAAGGTGATACGCAAAGGTTGGGGTAAATGTTGTCGTTATAGCTGAGCTGGCTGCTGTTGAGTGCTGATACCGGATGAGCACCTCAAATGAATGGAAGACCGGCCACCTCTGTAGACTTGTGGTCCGAGATGACGAGTTGAGGTTGAATGAAGGTTGAAGGTGGCAAACGAGTCACGAAGGAGGGACTTGTCTGGTAGATGTTGTTCGAAGGAATGAAAGTGAGGTAGTGCTCAGCAGGCTCAACAAGCTTTGAGGGGTTGAAAGGAGTGAAATGGTGTCTGTGGAAAAAGAACAGGCGGCGAAGATGCCAAAAAAGCAAGAGACAAGAGAAGGTTGCAAGGTGTGAGGTCAGGGCAAGGGGGCCGTGAGATCGTCGAAGGGGCGGGGGGCTGTGAAATATATGGCGTGGAGTCGCTGGATGGGGGCGTGGGCCACCGTCTGGTATGGCAGACCCCACGGCCAAGACCAGGGGGGTCGAGGGCCCAAAGGCTGGCCGTTCGCGCCTGTCCGTGACCTCATCCACCACCGGGAGGCTTGAGAGTGTCTCGACAGCAGGGGTCGCATGGGTCTCGTCCAAGCTAGCGGACGCCTGAGGGGGAAACGGTGGGCCACCGTCCCGTGCGTCGAAAGCCAGGGAGTACCCCCAAGTCGCCCAACGAAGACCAAGCTGTCTGACGACGTCAGAACAACATGGTGACATCGGGGAGCATGAGCATCCTCGCCATCCTCGGCCTTCTTTATTGAGACCGATCCTGCTTGGGATTGACAATAGCAAGAGCTCGGTTCTTTGCCTGTCGTTCCTGTCAAGATTGTCCTGGCCGTTGTTTGTTCAAGGGACAAAGCAATGCATCCCTCCAGGGACAAGCCAGTGGTAGAGCTAGCAGCACCGACGATGAAGGAACCATTGTCATCAAGGGGGAAAAGAAACAGAGCAGTAGGTATCTCGCAGGGCATCAGCAACCATCAACGGAACGGGAACACCACTTTGGCTGTGACAAGTGGCTTTCCATGGGGCCTGCCGAAAGGGTGTGCAGCTACACGTCTCCTCAGCGCTGTACCTGCATCCTTCAGTGAATCATGCTGCGGTCGTGATTGGGTCGAGTCAAGTTTTCTGCGTGTCCAGCCGTTGAAATCCTGTGCGTGGCACCACCCACCCAACGGCACTGGGAGACGCCGGGCCACTTGGCTCGAGGCACGGCCTTGCAAGTTTTTTTTTTTGCTTTTCTCTTGCTTCTTCTTGATGTCCTGAGTCGTCAAGCTGCGGAGATGCGAGTCGGGTCAGTCCGCTGGGGCCTGTGATGAGAGTTCAAGCACCGAAATTGAAGGGACAGGCGAGACAGCCATGGTCGACCTGGCAAAGCCCCTGCCATCATCGCACCAGGGCCGGCGCAAGCCCCAGGCAATAGCCCAAATGTCCGTCCAGGCAACCAAACGAGCCAACCGGTGACAGCCCCGGGGCCTGGTATGCCCTGGGAAACGGACTAGGATGTCGGGACGTGGCCAAACGTCCGATGATCGTGAGATTGAGGCTCCGCGAACGGTCGATCAATCAAGGTCTGGAGTGTTAGGATCAGCCACGACATCGTACTCTGATTGTCTCGTCGCAAACGGCATCTTTGGTCAAACCGACAAGCGAACACAAACAAGGGCCGGGATCAATGGGACAATCGGGCCTCTGGAATGCTGTCAGGTGCTGCAGAAGGAAAGAGAGGTGTCTGGTGCGTGCTGCGCGTTGCGTGCCCACGCCTGTGCTGGCAGCATCGCCCGAGACCAGTGACGTGGAAAGCGTTGGCGGGCGGGCCCCCACTTGCGCCTTCCAACGGGATGCTAGAAGCCCCCACTTGGGCTCAGGGGGCCAAGGGGGCGGTTAGGCTTGGCGGGTCCTGGAATGGGGATCGCCCCCCCAAAGCACGCCGTCAGCCCCCAGTTCCTGGATTCGCCTGGCCCTTGGAACTAGAGAGCCGTCGTGCTCGACAACGGCTGAGAGGGACAAGACGACGGAATAAGAGCTGGCCATTTGCTTCGACAAGCGACGAGGCAGGTCGCACGTGCTGCTAGGCGCCATGTTCAAGCATGCGGAAAAGCCAGTCGACGGAATGTTCACTCTCCTTTCCACAGAGCAGCCCGCATCCCACCAAGTGCAAATCAGTCGCCCGTGGCTCGGAGCAACCGTTTCAAACGGATGGGACATCCCAAGACAAGAAGACAAAAAGACGGAGAGACGGAAAGAGGGCAGGCAGTCCAGTCGAACCAGAGAGCGACGCGCCGTCTGTTCGTCCCATTCTTCTCCCTTCCCAGCTGACAACGTTTCGCCTGGTTTTCGTGGCAGTTGCCGCTGACGGACAGGGACGTTCGCCCGAAGCAGGGCTATCCTGACACTGCCAGAAAACCATATCGAGATGCAAGAAACAAAATCCCGCGCGCCAATTCGATTACCTACTCTGTCCCGCGCTGCCATCCCGCCTCCAGGTTTTCGGTCTTCTCCACTGACGACGCATTGCTACCTACATGAGTCGAGGCCACATCAATAGTTGGCAGTCCGAACGGAAGCCACACCTGACTTCACATGCGACTTGAACGGCACTCGGCGTAGGGCCCCTCGTCAACAAAAAAAAAATGGCAAAGACGGAAAGCACGAGGCAGAGCAAGGTCTGAACAGGGCAAGAGCAATTCATTCACCCCTTGTCAGTTACATTCGGTCTGCAGTCTTGGCAAGTGGGCACGACCAAAGGGAAGCCAACAACGAAGGCAGGGGCCGAATCATGAAACGCGCTAGAGATGTGTACCTTGCATCGCCCCTGCAGCAGGCATCCCAGACCTCCTCCCCTTTAAATCAATTTAGCTCCAGCTCATCGGCGTCCCTCATGGCCCTATTGGCTGCTTCTTCCACCATAGCTCGGAAGGACCGCCTGCTGGGCCCCGGATCGCCAGAGATGGCAGTGGCATGGCGGCACCTGGGAGAGGGCAAGGGCAACACGATGACTGGACCAGGAAGGAAGGAGGGAGGATTGGAAGGTCCCAGAGCTCAACCAGACGAATCCTAACATCGATTACCTCCCTGGCCTTCACACCCTCTCCGTTAGGAAGCAAGTAAGCAATCAAGCAATCAAGGGTCATTGATCGACTGGCGTGGTCCCCTCCATAAGATGAGAGGACTGTTGGCGCCGGTCCCGTTGAGACGACGGTCGCGCGCCAGCGAACGCACACGTTAACGGGAGCGCCAACCAAGCGCCTGCCCATTGACGGGACATGAGGAGACCAGGCGAGCCCGACAGCGACACCAGGCAGACACACAATGGCCTTGTTCGAGTCAACCTCTCCACCTGACATCTGGCGCTGGGCCCCCAAATGCCGCGCACGCTGGCCGCCGCCGTTCCAGACCGTGGCAACGGCATCGGCAATGCCATTAGCATTTGCCAAAAGCCCTCACTCAGCCACGCGCTGGTCGTCGTACAATCCACTGCCAAGAATGCGCCGTCATTCCAACGCGCGACCGACTACGTCTTCTCATTCGACCTTCTGTCATTCCCGACCTCGATCCAAGTCGTGTGCTACTGGACCCTGGACATCAAGTGTGTGTGTGCCAATTCTTCCAAAGGGACTTTCCGCCCAGGCCACCGTTTCGTTTCAGTGGTCGGCGTGGCTACCTTCGCCCTGACGCACCAGAGCCTACCCGTTCCCCTTCTCATTTCCCGAATCCTCGGGCGGCGGTTCCTCACCCACGCAGAGCACCCGGCTGCTCATTTCGTTTCTCTCCGTTCATCGACACTGCATTGCATGAATAGCCCGCCCGGGATTTAGAGTGCCGGCCATGCCTAAATTTTAGGCTAGTGTTGAAGTGCGGCCTTCTTTGACAGGCGGGGTCCCACATGAAGAGGCCTCATCTAACTTCGAGACAGACAGCAAAGAGACAAAGTCGAAGACCAAAGACGATAGATCGCAACAGATTGACTTACTGAAGCACCAGCCCGACACCAAATGATGATGCCTTCCCCGGTCGACGTGGACCCTTCATCTCGCGCGCGCCAGTTACCGTCGAGTGACGCCCAGCATGCGCGCTTTGGGGCTTACGTCGTGAAACACAATGGCCGTATTCTCCGCTGCAGTGCGCCGGCGATGCGGCCGCATTTTTGGGTTGCGGATAGCCGCTGAGGCAGCGACCGACATGGAAGACCGTCACCGCTCATCTGGAGTCGGGCCCCCAGGCCACCGACCGTTGTTTCTTCTTCGGGCGTTTTTTTGTCGTGGCATGATTGATTGGGTGTGGCTGCGCTGTCAGTGCAGCATGGCTGCAGATGTAGACCTGGAAACGCTGTGCAAGAAGGGGACATGTGACGAGGCCATGGAGCTGGCAAAGGCTTGGCTGCTGAAGTTCAGCTGATAATATTGGGTTTGTTGAGTTTTCTGGTGATTGACATGTTATGGCTTGATTTGCTTCTAGTCGTGACAGAACCAAAACGCCTTTGAACAGGCATATTCAGCTGGTTTCAGTTGGATCTATGCGCCTGCGGCTAGCCAGAGGGAACATCTCTGAACGTGAATACCACTAGATACTGTCACATTTTGTGTGGCCTGGCTGGAAGCTCCCCTCATATTAGACAAGTCTGGAGCAATACCTATGTCTATGGTGGTGAAACGAAACCCAGTCATGTTTACGCCGTCCTATCACCTTTCAGACAGCATGTGGAAGACTGTCAACCCAACGCAACTCCTGACAGAAATCTACTCAACCAACAAATGCAGGTGTTGGACCGTACCGTGGTTCACCTCGTCACCATCAGGCAGCTGACTCACCACCACGGTTGGCTTCTCTAAAGTGAGCTCAACAAACCGCTCACCTTCGGTTCCGTTCCTCCATGACACTCTGGCCACGTTCTCGCCGCCAAGGGCCACGGTAGCGTCGATCCTCTCACTCAACCGTACCCGAGGCTTGAAGAGTACCTTCGCGCAGCCCGGCGCAAGCGGCCGCACACCCGCCACCTCGGTGCAGAACTCATACAGCGGGACACTGCCCCAGGCATGGCAATCAGATCGCTGCCGCACGTCGTCCTCTTCCCAGGTCGTCAGGTTCGCGGCTAGCATCTTCCGCCATGGCGCCCACACGTGCCTGTAGTACGTCTCGTACGCTTCGTCGCCCGCCAGTGAAAAGGCCCGCAGAGCGTAAAACTGCATCATGTAGGAACACTTGGAGAACCTTGTGTCCGCAAACGATTCTTGCAGGATCCGAGCGTTTTCATGCTCCTCTGCAGCTCCCGACAGTACGGCGAAGACCTGGCAGTGCTGGGAGTACGCCAGTTCGTCGGCCACGTCGGCGGTTGAGTCGGTGAAGAAGCGGCCGTCGTAGCAGTGCTTTCGGACTGCCTCGGTGAGATTCGAGGCCCGAGCCTCGTACTCAGTTGCGTTGCCTGGCCTGCCAACGTCACGGAGGAGGCTCGCTGCGTTTCGTAGCACGAGGGCATAGAGCATGCTGAAGTAGGTGTGGCGGTTTGACGTGCGGCCGGATGTCGGGACGCCCTTGTCCGGGTGGTCGTCCGTGGCGCCCCAAGTGGTCACCCAGTCGACATACTGCCAGACGTCTTCCGGGAGGCCACTGACGAGACCTAAGTCGTCGACATGGCGGTCGAAGAAGTCAAGGACGCCGTCAATGCGTGGTATGAAACTGCGCGCGTAGGCTGTGTCGCCAAAGTAGATATGGTGATCGCAGACTTGAAGGATCCATAGCAGAGGGAATGCCGCGATGATTTGTGGTACGTGGGACGGAAAACGGGATTGCGTCAGGCCTTCTGCTGTGACGGACGAGGCAAATGTCGTGATGGCCTGCCGCATGAGCCTGTCGTCGCCGGAGATCAAGTAGTGGAACACACCGACTGCGCGGGTGTCTCCCGAATATCTGGAATCGTGTCAGTCGGGCTTTCCTTACCGCTCAAGTACTGATCACATTGACTCACTGGAGCTGTTCGTAGAATGGGCAGTCCGAGTATCCGTCGAACATGCAGTTACGCATGGTTCGTATAGAGACATCCCACATCTGCGTGCCTTGCGGGTCGCTGTGATCGGACCAGCTGCCCTTCACTTCCAGTGGGTAATGCGTCTGCGTCGCGTCAAAGGACACAAACTCGACCGCTTCGGGACCGACGTCCACCTCAAGACGGAAGACGCGGAACGTACGGAACCAAAAGGGTTCATAGTTAACCTGGCTGTCTGCCGAAATGTCCAACACCGCCTCATCGTATGGTCCTATGATTCGACCAGCCGTTGCATCCAAGCGATCGGCCTTGGTGCGGAAGAATGGGTATGCACGAGGCTCGAGCTCGTATCCTTCCGAGTATGTTGCTTTCAGCTTAACTCGAGACCGTGATGCCGCTCTGAACGTCCAGCGTACGAAGGCGGTTGAGTGGAGGTCAGCCTGCAGCTCAAGCACATGTCGACTTGCCCCCGGCAGAGTCAGTGGATGCGCCCCCGAAAGAGAGCGAGTCCACTCGTCGACAGGAAGAGTGCTCTGGCAGAAACGAACGGTATTGACATTGATAGCCTCTTGTGTCGGCATGGGTATCGATCGTGCGCGCAGGCGCCAGGGGGCCAGCTCGCCATTCAGCGTCTTGATGTTGTACGCCTTTGGCGTCGCGAGTATCCCGAGGGCTTGTGGAGAAGCTCTTTCGTAAATCTGCAAGCATGACGATGAGCATATCATATGGATGGTAAATACGCCTACATTAGGATCTTACGTGTAAGAAGTTGTCATCAATGAGGCCCATTGGGAAGAGAATGCTGTCATCAGTTTGTACCTCCCAGCCCTGGGCCGAGTCGAGCTCGATGGAGTGGTCGCCGGCTTGCACAGACCCCACGACCGTCAAGCCGGGTATCGCAGTTCTTCCAAACGGCATGGCGCCCCGTGACGAGGAGAAACAGCGGAGGACCTCAATCTTGATCTCATTCTCTCCCGCTTGCGCAAACGGCGCAATGTCAATCGTGTCGTAGTACCATATCAACGGACTTCCTCTCGCGGGCCCTACTGCGACTCGCGTTCCGTTCACTGTGAGTTTGTACCGCGTGTCTGCCGAAAGCTGCAGCAATGATTTGCTGGGCTTGGAGTCCGCGACGAATCGGCGGGTGAAGACTGCTATCCTGCCGACCGTGTTGCCTGTGGAAGAATCGACCCAGTCCGGCGACCAGACCCAGTTCGCCTGGAGCCTGTTGACAATCTACAATTCTTCCGTGGTAAGCCACACTTCGATCAGGTCAAGGGAGCCAGTCCGAACTCACAGCCTGTTCTTCCTTCGTCGTCATGGCTGCGTTGGTGGCGAAAGGGAATATGGGTGGTCGCCATCCCGCCTTGGACGAGCAGACCTGCTACAGCATTTGAATCAAGCAGCCGCGTTGCCAACTGGAGCTCCTGTGACGCCAATAGCTTCCTTCCTCGGGTGAATACCAACCGGCAAGCCACCCCATGATCAGGTGTTTTTGTGTTGTGAGCCTCCTGACGTTACACGAGGGGTGCCGTGTTTCCCGGTGGGGGTACGCGGGGGGCGGACGCACTAGGGTGCCGGAGTGCCGGTGAATGCGGGGAAGGGTCCTCATCCGGGCATTTATCAAGCCACGTCCTTCTTATATGTCGAACATAGAATCAGGAAGACGGATACAACGGATAATGCGGAAAAACGGAGACCTTTGGGGAGTTGGCTTGCTTGTTGCTCTGGTATGGCGTCGTATGGCCGAAAGATGAGTTCCAGGTCTGTCTTGTTGGACCAAATGACAGAAGCGAACAGGAAGGTGCCTCAAGGCAGTATTAGGTATCTAGAGTGCCAAAATTTACTTCGAGAGTCGCGAATAAATCAGCGTGTAGGCTTCAAATTCCGATTCAGTTGGCAATTGGCAAAAATACCGAGGAAATCCATGGGAAAGGTGTTTGAAAAGGCAAACGAAAAAGATCGTTTGCATCCACGTTTTCTTCACGTTACGCATTCAAAGTCCTGCGTTCTTGAACCATGATTCTCATGTATACGCAAAATCTCCTACTATTCTTGCACATAAGTTGTTCACTCCGGAGAAACTGCGCATTAATCGCACCATTGTTCGATTCAGTTAGGTGTATTGCATCATTTGTCCTAAATCTCACGAGCCTGAATCCCGTGAACCTCTTATCTTGAATTAGACACAAGCCGACCCAGCTACACGGTCCTACAGCCCGCACCCTGGCACCACGTCGCACTTGATCCAAAGTACATTGGACCTCAGAGATACACCAGCAAAGCCTCAGAAGCACCAACGGTGAAAGTAGCCTTTCCGCCGGATACAGTCGCAGTCTCCAAGACTTCGGTACCCTTGACATTGCAGGATCCACCCGTCCAAGTCTGTCCCGCCAGTGTGGGAGACTGACCCTTATCAACCCTGGAAGTGGAGAACGCAGCAGTCAGGCGCTTAGCAGTGACTTTGGACGAAGTCAGCCCCTGTTAGCGTATACGTCTGCGTTGCCCGAGTCCCCGCTGGTGAAGTAGTCAGAGTTGTAAAGGAGGACCCTGACAGGGGCGTTGTTCTTATAAATAGCATAGGCACCGTAACGGGTGCTGCCATCGTCGAGAGGGGCAACCCTGTCGGCACCTGCAAGGGCTTTGGTGGCCATCATGGCACCGTAGTACGGAGCACCAACGGTGAAGTTACCCCACCAGCAATACTGGCCTGCTTTGCGTCAGCCTCGTCGTCCTGCATTCGTTCCGAGAACCAGACTTACAATTTCCGATGGTGCCGTGATGGAAATAGAGAGCCTAGGAATCGAATTGATCAGCGAAAACACAGACTAGTAAAACGTCGGTTCAGACAAACATTTGTTCCCAGAATGGCCGCTTGAATTGCGTAGTCCATCACCCACAGACCTGCACCGTACGTCGGGCTGATGCCGCCACCACCTTGGGTCGCTGGAAAACACGAATCAGTATTGAACGGAATCATCACCGCTCAAGCAAATCGCCTCACCAGAATTGTCTCAAAGATATGAGGCTGCCTCGCATAGCAGCAGAGATTTCGGCGGCAAACGGCTGAATCTGGGTCTGTGATAGCGCTGTGATCCATCAACTTGGAAAGATCGGCAGTGCTCTGGGACTGCGGGTAGTTGTGGGAACAGTAGTCTTTGACGAAGGAGTTGGCGCTCCCTTCTTGGCCAGTGAGGCCCTTGATGCTCATCGGTGAAGTTCCAAAGTATACACCAGCCGAGAACTGGTCTGAACCGCCGAGAGCACCGCCCACCGCCTTCTGCCAACTGAGTTGAGAAGCGTAGTCGGCAGCCGCGTTCCAGGTGTTTCCTCCGGCGATGGGGTCGCTGCTGGTAAAGACTGGTGAAGAAGCCAGTCAGCGAGACGCAAACAGAGGCGTCGGTCAAAAACTTACAGTTGGGCTCGTTGCCAAGCTCAATGGAGTACAGATTTCCCATTGCTGCCTTTGCAGCTTTAGCCGCCGCAATGGTGTTGGCTTGGTTGTTCAGTCGACGGTTCAAGCCAATGACGACCTTGCCACCATACTCGGCTGCTAACGAAAAGAACGAGGGTCCATAGGTCAGAGACGCTGGCGCAGCTCCGGCGCTGGCAACCGTGTACGTCACCGCCGCGCTGGATGAGGCATCATAAGTAGCGCGATCCCTATGGCTAAGTCAGTTTTGGAACCCCTAGACTATTACAAAGGCTGCTTACTGGGTGGTTCCGCCGATTCGGATGGGCGGCCAAGTGCCACTCACATCTTTGAGGTTCTGGAGACACTTGGTTGTCGAGGCGACATCGTCGAAATAACCGGGCCAAGCGAAGAACTCAAATCTGGGAAAGCAAGTAAGTATAGAGCACTCTTGGATGATCATTCAACAGTCGAGGCAACCCACGAGACTCCCACAGGGGCCGCAGCTAGCTTGGGGCTTGCATTCGACGGGACAGCTGATGGCACGGCAAACGTGAGAGCAGACACGCAGCCTAGTTGCCCCAGAATGAGAAGTTTGGACAGCACAGGAGCCATGGCGACAGTTCTGATTCTGGTAATCGTGATAAAGACTGCAGAGGATGATCGTTAGAGGTCGATCTAGTGAGGATGCAGGACGGACCTAGCTACAAAGGCTCCAGACAGCTCATTATATGAGACCAAAGCCTAGACCAAAGCTACGTACCTGTCGATCCATGCGCCAAACAATTGAGTTCACATGGGTGGACGTAAAGCTTCGACGACAGGCAATATGGAGCAGCCCACTTACCACAGCTAGGTACCCAGTGGTCACCAGCTTGATGATCCGCGCAACGAGCTTCCCCGTGGGGTTCAGGCTCCCCGGATCCCCAGACTCGCGTCGGCACATATTCGCAAAGAAACACGACAGTGATCGCGTGAAAGAGTACCGAGCTCCAATGGGAAATATGCTACCGCGGCACGTTTTCAGAACTAAGGCGCGCGACGCGTGGAAATCGGGGCCTTGGTTGAGCTCACATTCGGACAGGTGTCAACGGATAAAGATCACGAGGTAGGATTTTCCAACGGATCTTTACGGATTTGCCAAAATAGCCCTTGTCGTCAGGCCAGATTCTGCTCCGAGCCTCGCGTGTTCAGGGGCCGAATGCCGGCAGTGACGGCAGTGACGGCAGTGACGGCTGAGTCGGCACGAAGCGAGCCAAACAGGGTGCACGCATCGCGAGAAAGGTTACTGCACGTAATACTACGACCAGGCAAGCTTTGTTCGATTAGCGCTAGATGGGAAGGCTAGCTATTGACGGTTTACGGTCAGAAGGTGGGGGAACAGGCACATTGCACCACCCCCAACCCCATGGGGTTTACCTGGGGTCATTGAGAAGCTGCTCTATAACTTACATGTTGCAGCCGCATATTGGCGGTTGGTATAAGGATGACTCGACCCATGAGCTTCAAAGGGATCGACAGAGTGCATCATCTTCTCTATTGTCAGTGCCAGCTTGGCACAGAGCTGTCTGCTTCGACTTTTACTTCTCTGGTTGAGATTTGTCTCACAAACACAAAGTCACAATGGATAAACAAAACCCTGAAGTCGACATGGTGGAGGGCCGCGATCATGGGGACGAGAAGTCCCAAGGGCCTTTCCACGAGGCCCTCGGTCCCATGCGTGCGAAGAGTGATGATCTCAGCGTGTGGGCCACTATGCGACTGTACAAAGTAGCTGGTATCATCGCCATGGCCGGTGCTTTCAGCGCATCACTTGACGGATATCGTACGTACCGTAACCTCAAGCAATGCGCAAGAAATATCGACTAATGAGAAGTGCCAGAAATCAACTTGAATGGTGGCATTGTCTCGAACAAGGGTTTCATCAAACAAATGGCTGGTGGCGGCAAAAAGATCATTGCAGGCAGATACATTTCGGCGTGGGGAGGAATCCAATCAGCAGGGCAAACTATTGGTCAGCTTGTAAGCAACAAGCACGCGCAAAATCCTGGGCTTCCGTCTAACATATCATGCAGCTCATCCAGTACGTCACCGAGGCATACGGTCGTAAGGTTTCGCTCTTGATCATCTTGGCCATGTTCATCACGGTCAGTAGCCTCAGCTAAGCGGTTCTCTTTTGACTTCAAGTCATGAGAGAGAGCTGACTTTAAATCATGAGAGAGAGCTATGCTAACAATAGTTGGCTACAGAGCGTGATGACCGAATCTTTCGCAAACAACTGGCAGCATTGGCTCGTTGCTAAGCTCCTGTCGGGCATGGGAGTTGGCATGCTCCAGTGTACCATGCCACTTTACCTGGCCGAAGTTGCCCCAACCCAGCTTAGGGGTGTTTTCATCAACGCTTATACTTTGTGAGCAGGCCCCCCTGTTCAAATGCTCGTATCCAACTTCATGAATTGAACTCTGACCGTGATTCTCAAGCTGGTTCGTTCTCGGGCAGCTATTCGCCTCGGTTGCTCTTTACGAGCTTAAAGCCGCCGACCCCACCGACTACAAAACACCCATCTACACGCAGGTACGTAAGGAAACATAGATATTGTTTCGTAGAAGCAACCAATTGCTGACATTTTCCAGTGGGCCATGGTGGGAGTTGCTGGAATCATCTTCATTCTCCTGCCAGAGTCGCCTTGGTGGCTCGTCAGCAAGGGCAGGTTCGAGAAGGCCTCCAAGTCTCTTCAGGTCTTGAACCGCGGTGTCGAAGCTTTCGATGTTCAAGAACATATTGTCAGTGATAACTCTAGGTTACATGATGCGCGGATTTGCTGCTAATATTTGAACAACAGAACGTCATGAACGCTACCATTCAGATGGAGAACGATTTGGCGGCGAAGAATAAAGAAGAGGACATGTGGGAGGTCTTCCGCGGTCGCAATCTGATTCGCTTCATTATCTGTTCCTGGCCCAAGGTGACGCAACAATTTGTTGGCTTGGCCGTTTTCAACACCTATGCAACCTACTTCTGTAAGTACCTTCGCTTTCTCGAAAAATACCTAGGGTACGCCGAGGATGTGAGATTAACCAGCGTAGTCCAATATGCCGGCAACAAGAATCCCTTCCTCGTGACGGTCATCCTGTCCAGTGTCCAGCTGCTCTCCATGGTCCTCACATCCACTCTGACTGATCAGCTTGGTCGACGCCCTCTCACCGTCTACCCCTATGCGGTCA